TTGACCCCTGCATGCAATATGAGGCACTGCTCATAAAGAATATTGATTTTTGTCAGATAATTATTTCTTTTTTTGTGGTGAAAATATTTAAGATTTAGTCTTTTAGCAACTTTGACGTATATAATACAGTGTTGTTGACTGTAATCACAATGTTGTGCCTGGATCTCCAGAACTTATTCATCTTCAGTCTGCAAGTTTGTATCCTTTGACCAACATCTCCCCAATCCCCCCACCTCCTAGGCTCCTGGCAACCACTATCCTTCCCTGTTTCTGAGTTCAGCTTTTTTAGATTCCACATATAAGTGATAACATACAGTATTTGTCTTCCTCTGACATCTTACTAAGCACAATGCCCTCAAGGTCCATCCATGTTGTTGCAAATGGCATAATTTCCTTCATTTTCATGGCTGAACAATAATTCATCATTTATATGTATACCACATCTTTACCCATTCTTCTTTTGACTGATATTTAGGTTGTTTCCACATCTTGACCATTGTGAATAATGCTGCAATAAACATACAACAGCTGATATCTTTTTGATATCCTGTTTTCATTTCCTTAGGATATTTACCAGGGAGTAGGATTGCTGGATCATATGTTAGATCCATTTTTAATTTTTTGAGGAACCTCCATACTGTTCTCCATAGTAGCTGAACCAATTTACATTCCCACCAACAGTGCACAAGGGTTCCATTTTCTCCATATTCTTGCCAACATTTGTTATTTCTTGTCCTTTTAGATGATTCCCATTCTAACAGGTGTGAGGTAATATCTCATTGTGGTTTTGATTTGCATTTCCCTGGTGATTAGCAATGTCGAGAATCTTTTCATGTACCTGTTGGCTGTTTATATATCCTTGGAAAAATGTCTATTCAGTTTCTCTGCCCATTTTTTAATTGGATTGTTTGTTGTATGAGTTCTTTATATATTTTGACCATTAACTCCTTATCAGATAATACGGTTATGTGACATGATGGAGATATTAGTTAATGCTATAGTGATAATAATATTGCAATATATAAATGTATCAAATCAATACACTATATACCTTAAACTTACACAATGTGATGTCAATTATATATAAATAAAAAATAAATAAATAAATATATGTAAATAAAAGGGCTGAGTCAGTCCTACCAGAAAAAAAAAAAAAATAGTGATCTAGGGTGATCTGTGGATTGATAGTTGCGTTTAGAGATACTAGTATTTAACGATGTGTTATTTTTGACTTGCCTTACAGGGTGAACTCTAACAATCTTCCCAGTATACCTATTGTCTACACATGCTTGGAATGTCGGCCACTTATTTTGTTTCTCATTCTCAGAGTCAGTGACTTGATAAGCTGATAGCAGCTGTAAATGGATGTTTTCTCCTGTCATCGTGCCGGAAAAGAATTTGGAAAGTTAAACACTCATAATGACCTCTCTTCCCCAACTTGTTATGAAGAGAAATCTGTTCATCAGATTCGTGATGATCTATGAATCAATTGACTTGTAACGTGGTATTTGATCAATCAAGCAGTGTATTCTATTGACGTCTATGGACATAGATTGAGCCTTAAACACATTCATATATAACATGATCTCTATCCTTAAGGAGCTTCCAGTCTAGTAGGAAAAAGTAAAGCAAATTTTATATGATATAAATCGTTCACTTGACCAATATTAGAATTGTTAATTATATTGCTAATAAATGTTAGAGAATGTGGTACCAATGTATCCAGGAACTAGCAAGGACATTTGAGTCTGGGGACTCCAAGTAAAGTATCAGTTCTGATCTTAACTAACGTCATGAACTCGCACAAATTACTCAAACACTCACTCTTTTCTTTTGTAAATTAAATTTGATGACAGCTAGCTCATAGTGTTCCTATGAAGATTAAATGAAATGTTTGTGAAAACATCTATCATGGGTTCCTGGCACATTATAAAAATTAAATAAAATTGTACAAAAAGGAGGGAGAAAATGAAACTTTAACAGTTTTTGAGAAGGAAACAGACTCCAGCTTCTAAAACTAGTTATTTACAAGTCACAGGTCATGGTTGAAGTATAAAAATATCAGAAAAACTGTCAAGGTATAGGATGTCTACTGTGAACAAAATGAGCAGAATCTCCCAGTGGGAACATGGAAAAGTGTAACACTGGGTTTTGAGAAGTCTTCCTCATCTGAACAGAGTTCTGCTGAGCTAAAGGTGGTGACTTCTCAGTTCTCCCATAGGATCTTTTACATGAGACCTACTTTCCCCTCAAGGATCAATGCCAGGACTCTCTTTGTACCACCTCAAACTGACCATAAATTCACAGATAATTTCTCGGAAGAATTTACTTTTATTTAATAAATTATACTATTTTATTTTAAGACAGTCTGAGTGGCATTTCTTTAGTTCATTTAAGTAAATATAATACAATCTTTAAGAATTAAGATCTTTTTTTTGGATTTCTATGATCTTAAATGTGTAGATTTTTATATATTATTTGTATACTTTATCATCCTGTCTCTCTGATATTTAATATTGTGATTCACCAGTGACCTCTTACATCTTAATGGTTTTATCTTTTGTTATCTCTCTGATCTGCTCTCGTTTACTGCTTTATCTCAAGCACCTTAAAAGAGTGTAGACATTTAGGTATTCAGTAAATATGTGTATGGTGAATGGACCAATGAATATTACCTTCAGGGCTAACTTGTGCCAAGATCTCCTCTTCTTTCCCCTGCTTAGGTTAGCAGTATTTTATTTCTTTAATTTGTCTTCTGAAATTCTGTGCCCTCTATGGAATATTTTCAATGTAGAATAAGGGATGGTATTTGCCCATGTATCTTGGACCGGAAAAGCCTAGGACTCCCAGAAGAGTAAATTCAAGATGGTCTTAGACTTTTTAACTTGTGTATAATAGGAATAGTATCTAATGTTTATGTAAATATTCAATATTATATATTTTCTTTATGTATATTTACATCAATCTATTTAACATAAGAAAATCCCCCAAAAGCAGCAGCAATAATTCATAACTGCAAAATCTCTTATGTAAATAACAGGATGTCCCCCATACAGTACATTCTGTGTTCCCAAAAAATGCCAAAAATTGACTATGTAATTTTCTATCGACAGATTTTCTTTTTTCTCACTGCAGTAACATTGGATTATAACACTATATAGCTTTCAGATGTACATCGTAATATATTTTGAATTCTGTGTAGATTACATCATGTTCACCACCCAAAAACTAATTATAGTCCATCACCTCACATGTGAGCCCAATCACCCCTTTTTCCCTCCTCCCTCCCCCCTTCCCCTATGGTAACCACCAAGCCAATCTTCATTGCTATGTGTTTGTTTGTCGTTGTTTTTATCTTCTACTTATGAGTGAGATCATATGGTATTTGACTTTCTCCCTCTGACTTATTTCACTTAGCATAATACCCTCAAGGTCCATCCATGTTGTCACAAATGGCCAAATTTCATCATTTCTTATGGCTTAGTAGTATTCTATTGTGTATATATACCACATCTTCTTTATCCATTCATCCTTGATGGGCACCTAGGTTGCTTCCAAGTCTTGGCTATTGTGAATAATGCTGCCATGAACATAGGGGTGCAAGTAACTTTATGCCTTTATGTTTTCAAGTTCTCTGGATAAATACCCAGCAGTGGAATAGCTGGATCATATGGTAGATCTGTTCTTCATTTTCTGAGGATACTTCATACTGCTTTCCATAGTGGCTGCACCAGTTTGCACTCCCACCAGCAGTGTACAAGTGTTCCCTTCTCTCCACAGTCTCTCCAACACTTGTTGTTTCCTTTGACAGATTTTCTAATATGAAAGTTCCTATACCCAGAAAGGTTAAATTTTATAAAATTATTTTGCACCACTTTATCACTATTTTATGATAAATATCTAGAACTCACACTATTTAAAATTTGTTTGCTGTTGGTTTTTATTTAGATGGAGAACACAAATTAGACTAAGGCTAAAAATAATTTAGCATTTGAAATTATTAATGATGTCTGTTTATGCCTCAGTTACATTAGTTTATGAAACTTAGGCTTCTTATGATCACAATTATTCATTTTACTTAACATATATTTTTAAAGTAAAAATCTAGAACAGAAGCTAAGTAAATAAATGATATATTGGATGTATGAATGTGCAAGTATAAGTCAACCAGCAGGGAATAATCAATCAATAGCTTGAGTTTTCTTCCTAGTTTGGTCCTTTTTTCTGAAGAACTTGCAATGGTATGTCCTTATAATAATCATTTATACAAAAAAGTTCATTTTGATGCTATTAAATTAGCTATTTCTTTGACCTAGAACAGAGACCCTACTTCTGCCTACCAGACTACTTTCATTTTATTCTGCCAATTTGTTACGAGTTTTTGGTTTGTTTTTTTTCATTGAGGTCTAATTGACATATAACTTTTTTAAGCCAAGTCACAATGTTAGACTAAAAGTAAAGTTCCAATATTATTTTTGCAGTAGAAATTAAGCAAGTAATTTTGATGATGCTATGAAAATCTTCTCTTGTATCATAGTGAGAACATTCCTAGGAGTTCTAACAGTTGGTGTCATAACCTGTTATGTTGCAATACTACATTCTTCATTAATGGCTTAAGATTTTTAATTTTTTTAATGTTTCTTTATTTCTAGGGTTTAATATCCAATATCTATTTGTGACCATGACTAGGAAATTTTATAAACAATATCATCTTTTAAAATATTTTTTAAATAAAAAGCAAATTTTTTTCATTGGGACCCCACTAATTTTGTATTTGTGATAACATTAGATGAGGACTACGCAGTGTTTATGATAAATATTTGAAAAATAAATTAACACTGCAAAACAGATGTGATCTATTCCGTAAAATAGTCTGAATAAACATTTAATAGCACAAGCTCTCTGTCATTCCTGAATGTGTGATGAATCCTTATATGTCTGTGTCTTTTGTTTTTGTTGGTTACTAAAGGCACAACAGTAAACAAAGCAAACCAAAGGCCTTGCCCTCATTACATTATTATTACACATTTTAGTGTGATAATGTTTATCACAATAGTGAAGGCAGTAACAAGCACCACTGATCTCTTTGACACTGGTTGGCTTCAGAAGGAACCCATATGTTTCTTAAGTTACGTCTTCCCCTGAAAATGAAAACCCAAAATGGATTAATTTCTGAGTGCCTATTTTGTCCTAATATTTTATATGCATTATTGAAATTCTGCTTTACAAAAATCCTACAGTGTAATTACTGTTCCTAATTTACACATGAGTAAACTAAAGCTCACGAAGTTCATATAACTTGTCTTGGGTTATTTAGCTTTTAAGTACTAGAGCCAAGTTCCCATGCTCCAAATATATTTTTTGTTTATAGACTTAGTTACATCTTTAGATTCACTTTAAGATTAATTTCTGGAAGAATTTCCACTATATGTTTGTGGAATTTTCCTTTGTTGGGTATTTATTCCTTTATTTATTCAGATAGCAATTTATTGAATAAACCTGAAACAAATTTCTGTACTGGGTTCTAGAAATAGAAAAATTAATAATGCATAGCTTTTGCCCTTACAGAGATTAGAATCTAACACAAAGAGAGGAGTGGCATGCATGTCTGCCTGCATGCGTGTGTAAAAATATTACAGTGCCAAGATAGAATTATTTGCAGGCAACAGTCTAGTCACAGAAGGGATAAACATCACTTCTTACCATGAGGTCAGACTTCAGAGGAAGTGATGCTTGTCTTGAATCTCAAAAACATGACTTAGTAGATAAAATGAAAGGAGCAGCAAGTTCAAGGACATAAGAGAATTACAGAACATGGTGCCTTTTGGAATTGCAATATTTGGTAGATTTTGTGTATGGGCTAAGAGTGGTTTCAAAAGGTGAGTAGGGACCAAGTCATGAAAGATTATTTACACTATGTTCAATAATTGCGCCTCCCTGGGGTGGTTTTTGACATGTTTTAAGCAAAGGAGTAACACCATATGATCTGTGTTTTAGCCTGATTATTCTGTGGCAATATGTAGAATGGGTATATGGATTCTTGAAGGCAGAGAGACTAATTAGGAGACTATTTCAATGACCTGGGAACAAATGAAGCCAGTACCAGTAGAGTTAAAGAGGAGAGGATAGATAGGATACATTAATGAGGTAGAATTGTCAGTTCCTGATCACCAAGCATATTTTAGGATTGGAGAAAAGGAAGGTTGAGGATAACCCCAGGCTTCTAGTTTAGGATGGGACATTTCAGCAGTGGTTCAATTGCATAGGGAATGAGGAGTAAGGTCAGGTTTAAAGAGGAAGTTACAGTTTTTGATAGGCTGATTTCAGGAAATCTATCACATACCCAACTGGAGATATCTAGCAGGCAGTTGGAATGAGTCTGAAGCTCAGAAGAAAGGCCTACCATTCTAAATCCTTGCCCCGACTGCCCTTGATCTGATGTTGCTGAAATGCGGTTATATCGTTTTTCATCTTAGGTGCACTGACTGCTTGTTTAAAAATAAGCTTCTGAATTTTTCAGGAATTTGATAAGCTCACCTTTTTCTCAGTGTTGACAGGCTTGGTCTAGTTGATTTGAAGATATTCTGTTCAGTAAACCAATCCTAAAATACAATTAGCATTAATCTCAACTCTGCCATTAATATTCAGCATGACCTTAGGCAGCTTATTTAACCTTCCTGTGTTTTAGCGTCCCCAGCCACGAAATGCAAATACTGTAATACAAGCTAACACACGGAGCAAAGGGAAAGAAAACTAATACAAACTTTACTAAAGTGCTTAATAAATAGAAAATCTTATATAAATGCTAATCCAAATATATTTCCCATTTTCTCACTGTGCTGGTAATAGCTTAGAAAGCAGTGAGGTAACAGGCACAACGTACTAGTCCACAATTGGTTGCAAAGTGAAAGAAAAAAATGGGAAAAAAATGCACACACAAAATCCTCTGATACATCATCTATTATCTGGTACTTTTGACCAGTGGCTAAAATAATTCCTGTGAATTTCTATGAGCTACGATGATTGAATTGTGAAGTCATCAGCCCCTTTCCAACAGAAAATTACTGTCCTGCAGGTGACACTCCGGCTCTTACCGTGTATGGGAACGAGGCTCATAATCCAGCGTTTTTGGTAATTTATCTAAGCTGTTCATTGAGCTAAGATGCAAGTGGAATTTTGGGTTTGAGAGCAAATGCTCAAAGAGGTAGAAGTCAGGGAGCTCCTGGGAAGAGAGGGAGTCAATCCATCCTGGAAATATCTATGTTCACAGTTCTGAATAACCCCGCCCTCAAGGCCAATGCCTAATGGGTGATGAACTGTTTTGAGAGGTAACTTTCCCAGATGTTGTTGTTGACATATGCTTCTCCATCCTCCATTGCTCTTTCTTGTCGCCTCTTCCCTGATTTTCCTTGGTGGGATGGGGGATGTGGAGATGTAGAAGAGCCAGAGACCCAGACTTCAACAGAAGTGAATTCTGGGAGAGGCTCCCAGTGCCAAATGAGCTGCGTGTAGATAGAGGTCCCATAGCGCCATGGCATTCTCAGGAGACCGCCATGCCTTCCTATTCCAGAAATCTTTGAAGCCTTCAGCTGCACCCCAAAAATAAATGTTTCCAAGTCATTTATTTATTTTAAAAATATTATTAAATATCTGTTTCAGGCATTATGCTGGGTACTGGAGTTATGAAGAGGATTAGGAGATTTTAAAGGAGGTCACAATAGAATGTTAATTATAATAATTATAAAATTGAGGACTTTTACATGCTGGGAACTGTCCTATATGCTAGTCATATGCTACTTAATATTCATATAAACTTAGTGGTGTATGTATTAGTTTCCCAGGGCTGCTGCAACAAATCACCATGAATTTGGTGGCTTACAGCAATAGAAATGGATGCTGCTCATCATTCTAGAGGCCAAAGTCTGAAATCAAGGTATGGGCAGGTTTGGTTCCTCATGGAAGAATCACTTCCATGCCTCTCTCTCTCCTTGCTTCTGGGGGCTGCCCAGCCATCCTCGGCATTCCTTGGCTTGCAGGTACATCACTCCAATCTCTGTCTCCATCTTTACCTTCTCTTCTCCTCTATGTCTCTATGTGTCCTTTTCTGTCTAGTATAAGAAACTCTCATTGGGTACAGGGCCCACCCTAATCCAGTACAATTCATCTCAATCCTTACCTTAATTATATCTGGAAAGACTCCATTTCCAAGTAAGGTCACATTCTGAAGTTCTGGGTAGATAAGAATTTGGGGGTATCCTATTCAATCCATGATAGGGCATATATAAGATCATTAGAGCTGAGGAAATAGAGGCTTATCAATAAGTAACTTTTCTAGTATCAGTTGCTGCTACAAAACAAACTATTTCAAATCTAAGTATCTTAAAACAGAAAACACGGATTATTTCTCAAATATTGTGATCATCTGGGTGGTTCTTTTGAGTCAGGTTGGCTGAGGCTGGACAGTGTAGTACACAGCCTCACTCACACATCTGGGTAGTTATCTCAGTGTCACCTGGAGCTACTAGGATGACTTGGCCATGTGTGTCCCTTTCTTTAGGCAGGGTAGCCTGGGCCTATTCACAGGGTCCCCAAAGGCAGAAAACGAGCAAATCCCAGCATATAAGTGCTTTTCAAGACTCTGCTGGTCTTATATTTGCTGATGTTCCATTGGCCAAAGTAGGGCATAGTCAAACCCAGAATCAATGTGGGAAGAGACTACCCAATGTTGTAATACAAGGAGGGGAAATATTGCAGGGGTTTTTTGGTTTATTTATTTTTTATTTTTTTTTTTGCAGGTTATCAGTGAGAGTGCCCAAATAACTAATGTATTATATTAGGGAATGGATCCCAAGGATCCTTTACTCCCCAAAGTCCTTTCAAACCCAGTGAATTCACAATACAGCCTCCAAGAGTAAGAGCTTATTGAATTATCATTTTCTAATTATCTATTGCATACTGTACATTGGCATGGAAGGGATATTGACGCTATTGCCATTTCCCTCATGTATGTCTTACAGCCCCACAAACCCAGTAATCTTCTATGAGAAAATATAATTTGTAATGTTATCAATCACACATAATTATATTTTAGTTTTTTTTGAAATAGGAAAGAAAGCTAGGGAAGAAATGGTATTGGCAGAAAAGTCCTTGGCTTATTACCACAATTTGTGTTCCTTCTGGTAAGGTGACTACACCCTCTGGCATTACATGCATTTTTATATGTGGTAAAACAGCTACACAAGACACCTCTTTGTACCTCAGTTTCCCTAATGGCAGAATTATAAAACTAGGCTTAGCTACAATTTACCTTTGGATTTATGGGAAATGTATGACTAAAATATTGTAGTTTTGATAAAAGAAATGTATAGGGATTTTAAGAAGCAAGGCATAGAGGTGAGTTACAGAGGACAAGTGCCATTTTTCACAGATGCCCAAAAAATCTCTACAAGACTTGGTTTCTCTCAAATCTTTTTCATATAGAATTCTGACATTAATTGAATAATAATAATGAACATTTATTGGACATTTACTATGTTCCAGGTATTGACATAAGTGCTTCACATGTGCTATCTCATTCAATTCTCTATCTGTTAGGTTAGGAGGTCAACCATTTTACAGACAAGAAAATTAAAGCAGGAGAGTTTAAGTCATCTTTAACTGCATGTCTTATCTCTACCACATTGAACTTCCAGTGATAATAAGGTCATCCCTTTTTCTCTATAAATTATTTTTTCTAACCTAATCTCTAGCTCAGAGAAGTAGAGGAAAGGACAATGAGCTGGAATTCTGTGTTCCAGCCCAAGTGCTCTCATTTGTGTAAATTAGCTTATATTTTTATGTGTAAAATGAAGATTGGATAAAACCTGTGTTGCTCCCTTTACCATGCTCCCATATGGACCTATTTCACAACAAAAACTTTTTTAATTCAAAAAGGGGGGGGAAACTGTTAATTTACTTTGACTAGTATCCTAATATCTTATTATATCAAAAAGTTGAAAATGGCCTTTTTCATCTCTTGTTCCCACCCACCAATCCTTTTTCAGAGTGCAGAAGGAATAGCAGTATCTTTGATTCTCAGTTCTGATACTCCCTTGGAATGGACAATTTTTCACAGCAGTTACCCAATAGATGAGATAACCTAACATAAGCATTATTTCATACGTACCTTTTGCAGCCAATGTCTGCTCAAAAAGTAATAACACTCCTGCTCCGCATCCCTATCAACATGCAAAATTAAATACTGTATTTGTTATATTGGCCATTTTTAATACTCTGATTTTAAGGAAAGTTTTATTAAGTTTAAATATTTGAGTATGTCTTTGCTAGTGATATTCTATTCTGCAGAACGCCAGACAGCTAAAACACAGAAATGACACCTGCAGAAAGAATTAAATAAAGAAGGAATATTCACTAAGCTTTGCCTTCTTGTGGCTACCAGCTGTATGCATAGTAACATGCAAAACAAGAATAATCTACAACGCTGGTTTCCTTAAAGAGACCACGGGAAGTTGCTAGCACAGTGCCCAGAGACTCATCAAATATTAAATCAGAAAGAGGGTAAGCAGAAAACCTTATTTGGTCTTCACTTGCAGCGTTGGCTGTGCTGGGGAATTAGACTAGGACTCTGCCGTCTGTGGGCTTGTTTGAAGAACAAGTGCTGCCATTGACCTACGATGATTTAACATTCCTCTTGGGAGTACAGAGAGTGCAGACACATATGGGGGTGGATTTGTACAGAAAAATAAAGGAATAAATAAAATATGGAGCTTGCTACTTGAACACTTTTAAGGTCAAGTGCTATGACTCTAGATGGCCTTATTAAATGAACAGAGGCAAGGGGATAATAAATGTTTCCTTGCCTCATGGCTCTACGTTATAGATCATCAGGTTTCTTGTAGGTCTCTAACTGATACGATTATTTGTGGGTTATTTATTGTATATACTTCACCTTAAATTTTACTTCATATTTCTTGGAGTGTTATATGTGTTGGTTTGGTATCACTTGTCATCATGTAAACTTACTAACAGAGCCAACTATCATCAGAATTGTTTTACCTAATTTCAAACACCTCACAAGACAAAGTATGGTGCATAGCCTCATTTTTATACTAGGTCCTAAAGGAGAATACCTCGACTACTTAAAAACTTAACCAAAATGGAATTAAATGCATTTAGTTATGGAAGCCTCTTTTAAAAAAAATAAATAAATAAGCTATAAATACACTAAAAACCATTAAACTGTATACTTTAAATGGGTTAACTTTATGGTAAGAAAATTATTTCTCAATAAAGCTGTTAAAAAAATTAGTCCTAGTCAAATTTTGCCTAGGGCACTGTCATTTCTCCCTTTAGAGCCTCCTAACTTCTCTCTTCCTCTCACAGGTTCCTTATATTCTCTGAGGACCCATACAAACTGGCTCAGTAGCCCAGAATCCAGCAAGGTCTTTCACAATCACGTATTCCTTAAAAGACATTTCAGTAAAGGCTTTTCTTCTCTGAATGTTCCAGCTGAGTTTCTAATTATTTAATAAACTAGTTTGTATAACATCATTTTTCTCTTATCCTGCCCAGGTAATTAATATATATGTGCTTTAAGAAAGGT